GGGAGGGAGGAAGGAAGGAAGGAAGGAAGGAAGGAAGGAAGGAAGGAAGGAAGGAAGGAAGGAAGGAAGGAAGGAAGGAAGAGAAGGAAGGAAAAGGAAGACTGGCCAGGGATCGGCTCATTCATCAAGACCGGCTGCTGATGACAGAGCTGCAAAAGGCAATCCAACAACTGTTGCTGTGCGTCAGCAGATTCTCTTACCAGACTGCGTGCTTGGCTGGGCTGCAGCATCTGTATCCTGGGTGCTCCATGGCCTATCCCACCCTGGCAGGCTGAGAGACTGCAATCCAAGGCACAGGTCACTGGCGTCGGGCAGGCCACGCGGAGACTCCTGGACAGAAGCGGGGAAGAGCATCCTGCTGGCAGTCCCTGTTCCCTCGGAGTCTGGAAACTCTGGATCAAACAGGGAAAGAGGGGGGACACAAACACACACAATGAAAAGCCACAAGGACAGGGAGCCGGGGAGTTCTCGCAGCGTGGAGGGGACGCTTCCGCAGGCAGCGGCTTCTCGCCTCCAGCCGGAGCGAAAGTACCATATGGCCTGTAATCAGAGGAGGCTGCTTCCACCTTCCTATCCCGCCTGCACTATACTGACTGGCCCAGCATGTGATCGAACTGCTGATGCTTACCGTGTGCCATAGACGTCACTCGGCCATGCAACACAACCACATCTTCACTCAGAGGAGGAGAGAGGTGGAAAGCAAACCTGCCCATGGGAGTCTAGGCAGCATGCAGGAGGCGCAGCCGACTACCCGCCAGCACCGCGCGAACGTCTGTCTCTCTCCGGCAGCCAGAGACGAGAGCCGGGGTTTAGCTAGCAGCAGTGCATGGGAGGTGGCTACAGTCAGCCACCCCTCCAGCCACAGCTGTAGCAGAGCGGCAGCCACAGAGAGCCAGGGAAAGAGAGATCACACTATCGGCTTGGTGCTCTCTCCTGGCCCCGCCCACGCCCCCCCCTCCCCAAAAATCTCCCCCCCCCACTGGAAAGCTTCCAGCCGCTGGCGCAAGCCCCCGGAGGCAGGGAAAAATGCAAAGCTTCACAATTCCGCTAGCATCATCTCTTTGTTTTAAACTTGGCAATCAGCTTTCACTGTCTCTCTGCTTGTTTATGACTATGGATAGCCTTTAAAAGGTGTGTGTGTGTGGGGGGGGGATTCTTAGCTAGAAATTTGCCTACGGACTTGAAAAGAGGGCAATGCCTAATATAGTTGGTCCTAAAAAGGGCACAGGGAAGCAGCCAGCACCCTAAAACATTTTTTTATTCTCCCAACAACCAACCAGCTTCCAGGTTTCTTACGGAAGCTTCACCTCTCTTCTGCTTGTGGCTTCACCCAAACATTTTTATAAGGGGGAAAAAAATGCAGCGTTATTTTTCGAATTCCAGCATAATGCAGAGATGGGGGCGGGAGGGAACTGGGCCACGAAGAGGTTATCTCGCGCTGCAAACCCCGTTTTCCTTCCTTCCACAGCATCATTATCACACCTAGACAAGTTTCTCACGCCATCCTCTGGGCTTGCTAAGAAAAAGGACCAGGTCTGGCCTGTTCTCGTGAAAAGCTGCTTCCAAGATTAGCTTACATTTTTAGGATGCAAAAGACCAGCCATTGCAACACCAGCAGGACGCAAAAGTCAGCTTATTGCAAATAAGGTGATTTGGGGTCAAGGGCAAGCCCATGATGACCAGTTGTCTAACTTTAGGGTTCTAGGTAATTTAAACACTGCTTAAAATCTAGGACGCCTCTATGCAGAAGCTGAGTTAACTCGGGGCTTAGTTCTTAGCTGTCACAGCCATTAACGCGGGGTAGATCTTCTCCTTGCGTTCAGAAAGTGAGTGAAGTCCCTGTCTTAAATCTTTAAACATAGCTTGTTATCCTTGCAAGGTGGCCTGCTTTATGCAAAAATTTGATTATGATTATACTAATAGAAAATTTAAAAAAAAAACTGATATTATCCCAATGACATTCTCAGCAGAGTTTGCAAAGCTTAAGTTTCAACTCTCTTTAAAAGTTGCTGTTAAAATTTTAATTTAGGCTGCTGATCACCTTGAAACCAAGTTTTGACTAAAATACAAGTTGCCTTCATGCGGGACCCTAAGCCATCATGTGTTTTGCTTGGCAGGGCGTGGTCTAAATCTATTAAGGCCATTCTGTTAAGGCCAGATGTGAAGGTAACATCATTTTGCTAGCTAGAGTAAGGAAGACTTCATAGGGGGAATTCCCAATCAGCAACACAATATGTTCTCTGATTAAGGTAAAAGTAAAGGTTCCCCTCGCACATATGTGCTAGCCGTTCCCAACTCCAGGGGGTGGTGCTCATCTCTGTTACAAAGCCGAAGAGCCAGCGCTATCCGAAGACGTCTCCATGGTCATGTGGCCGGCATGACTAAATGCCAAAGGCGCACGGAACGCTGTTCCCTTCCCACCAAAGGTGGTTCCTTATTTTTCTACTTGCATTTTTACATGCTTTCGAACTGCTAGGTTGGCAGAAGCTGGGACAAGTCGCGGGAGCTCACTCCTTTATGTGGCGCTAGGGATTCAAACCGCCGACCTTTTTGGTCAACAAGCTCAGTGTGTCTTAGCCACCGCCTCCCTCGTTTTCTCTGATTACAGAAACCAATTTAGCCATCTTGGCCAGTTCTATCCTCTTTACCAGCCAGCCTTCCATAGTGGGTAATGGTTTATGGAGGCTTCTTCTAGTGAAAACGGCGTATGCTTCCAGGAACGGAAAGGGTGTATTAGATTAGGAAAATATAACAAAATGTTTAGTCATGCAATTCCCTCCAGCGTAGCTTGGCAGGAATCATTTCCAGGAATGACATCTGAACTAACTTCCCATTTTAGATCTTTAAAAGATGTTATCAATGGTTCAATCAGAAAATGGCCAGCAAGGCTTCCTGTTTATTAGGATGGGAGCAAAGCTCATCCTAATAATACTCTTGTCTGAGAAGGATACGGGAATGGGCCAGGATGGTAGTCTCGATTTATAAGAATTTATGTGGCTAAGCGAGACTTTTGTTAAAGGCGTTTTGCCCCGCTTTATGACCTTCCTTGCCATGGGTGTTAAATGAATCACTGCAGTTGATAAAGTTAGCAACCCAGTAGTTAAGTGGGTTTAGCTTTCCCATTGAATTGGCTTGTCAGAAGGTCGCAAAAGGGGAGCACGTGACTTCGGGACCCTGCAACAGTCATAAGTCCATGCCAGTTGCCAAGCATCTGACTTTAGATCACGTGACCACAGAGATGCTGCAAAGGGTTGTTAAGTGGGAACAGTTGAAAGTCAGTTTTCTCAGTGGCATCGTAACTTTGAATGGTCACTGAACAAACTGTTGTTAATTCGAGGGCTACCCGTAATCCGTGGCCTCTTCCTGCTTCCACTCCACCCCGGCGAAAGTGAAATCCATGCAGTTTTTAATCGCAAGAAAACGGAGAGCAGGGAGCCAGCAAATTTCCTAATAATACCAGCTTTCATTAAGGAGCCTCATGGTTGCTAAGATATGCTTGTGTGGGCAGCCTCTGCTGAAATTAAGAGAGACTCTGGTGGGGCTCGAACGCTGTTATTTCGACGCATCCGAGGGAAGAAACGCAGGGTATCGAATGGGATGCCCTCCCACCACCACACACCTCAACTTACGACAATGGAGTCCAAAATTTCTGTTTCTAAGTGAAACATTCGTGAAGTGAGTTTTGCCCCATTGTACAAATTTTCTTGCCATGGTTGTTAAGGGAATCCCTCCAGTTGTTAAGTTAGTGACACGGTTGTTAAGTGAATCCCTCCAGTTGTTAAGTTAGTGACATGGTTACTACTCCCTGACCAGCAAAGTCAATGGGGAAGCCAGATTCACTTAATGACTGTGTTACTAACTTAACAACAATGGCGATTCACTAAACAACTGTGGCAAGAAAGGTCGTAAAACGAGGCAAGACTCATATTAACAACTGTCTCCCTTAGGAACAGAAATTTGGGGCCCAGCTGTCGTGGTAAGCGGAGGACTGTATTGCTACTGCAATGGACTCAACCAGTTTGATGTAGTGGGCAAGACCCCAGGCTACAGACTGGGAGATCGGGAGTTCTAGTCCCACCTTAGGCAAAAAAGCTCTCACTCTCTCAGACCTAGTGAGAACAATGGCAACACATATGACATTTTGCCAAGCCATCTGCTGGGACCAAGGATCCAACAATGACTCAAAAGCACATGCTCTCCGTCTCTCTCTCTCTCACACACAGACACAGAGGACCTGCTCCTGATGACTCAACTTAGGACAGCAATGACTTAGAAACTGTAATTCCAGTCTCAATTATGGTCAGCAAGTTGAGGACCAGCTTACACCAAGAGTCAACACCGACTCAAAAGCACATGCTCACACCAGCTCACATACGCAATAGACACATTGGGTCTATTCTTTGTGGGAGGGTTTTGGGTTGCTGATGTTCCCACAACTGGAGTGGACAAACAGCCCATTCCATGTTGAAGGCAACATCTGTGACTCAATGGCGTACGGAGTTCTCCTAAGACAGGGATATGCAACTATACTCCTTTATGACTTGTGGATTTCTATTCCATGTTGGCTCGGGAACTGTGGGAGCTGAAGTCCATAGGTCCTAAATGGTCCATAGTTGCCCACCAAGTCCTAAGATTACGCTCCAGCTTGCGTGAACATCTGCAATGATGGTTCTTGAAGAGTCCACTGCCCTACAAGACAGACAAGCTGTCCTCTTGTATCATAACGCCCTCCCGTCCTTCCTTAGCTTCTCCAAGCAAATAGCTGGAAATCCCTTCTCTGCATTGCCAGCCATTTTCTGAAATTTGATTGTATTTTAACAATTGGGTGTTGGCCAGAAGAGAGTTAATGGAAGGGAGACTTCCTTAAGAGTCCTATCAGAGCTGCTTAAGTGCCGAACTGGCTTATCTTTTAAAGAGAAATACCTGGGAGGAAAGAGGTCATCTCAAGTCTAACTTAATTGGTAGACAAAAGAAGAAGAAAAAGAAATTGGGGCAAACCTATCCCCAAAGTGTAGAATTTGGGTTCCCCTCTGAAACAAAACTCAATAAATCTACTACTACTTTATTTTCAAAGGAAAACCTAAATAAGGATCCCTGGGATTTTACACCTGTTGGTTTGCAATAATCCTAGTTTAATCAAGATAGCATAAGTATGCTTTTGAAGCTAATTTATGGAGACTCTTTTTAGTTCCCCTTTATATATATAAAGGGGAGGAAGGATCCCATATTTGGGGATACCAGGGGTTGTAACTCTAAATACATACCTATCTCCCTGGCTCAGCTGATAAGGAGTAGAACCCTGTGGCTTAGTGGTTGACACATCTGCCTAAGATGCAATACAGCACAGGTTCTAATCCCAGTAAGGGTATGGCTAGCTGATGAGAGCTAAATAGCTTGAAATAGATCTATACTAGTCTCCCTTTATTTATTTATCAGCACAAATACAACACACACACACACACACACACACACACACACACACACACACACACACACACACACACACACACACAC